TTTATTTCATTCTTACCTTTTTACTATTTAAAAAAAAAATCTCTTCTAGGACTGAGAGTATATAGTCCAGTGGTAGACTGATTCCTGGCCGTAATGACTTTCACATTCGTCTGTTTGATTTGTATAGTATCACTGCAAATAGTGTGCTTATATAGCATTATTCTAAGTTGGACAGGTAACGGTCATGTGCTGGTGATGATCCTGTATTATGACCCAAGCATAGCACAGTCCTCATGCTGGGTTACTGCCACTCCTGTCTTCTACTTGGAGAATCGCCAGAATGAACATACTCAGTAGCCCCGACAGAAATCTGGACTCTTTCTTACAAGGACTCTCTTCCTTTTAGAATTTGTTTTTAGGGGCTGATGTGATGACTCAGCAGTTGAGAGTGCTTTTACTGCTGTTTCAAAGGACCCAATCTTAGTTAAATTCCCAACACCCATGTTGGGCAGCTCGGAATTGCCTCTAACCCCAGCTTCAGGGCATCCAGTGTCTTCTGGCCTCTTGGGATACTGTACTCACAGGCATCCTCCTACTCACAGGCACACACATAATAAAAAAATAAATCAACCAAAAAAAAAATAAAAGAATTCATTTAAAAAATATAAATAAAAGCCAGGTTTACTGAGATGAATTGCATCCATCTAACCAATTTAAATGTTTTTATTCCTCTCACCAAAAAGCCCCTCCTACTTTGAGCCTCCTCAGTCCCAGACAGAAAGTGACCTAATTACTGTCTATAGATTCTCCTGATCAGATAGTTTAGAATGCAGTCTCCCTCCACTAAGACCCTTGCAAAGGGAATACCAGTGCTTTATGATAGTAGCGGTCAGAAGTGGGATTCACAGAAGGCTTGGGTGTGATCACTACTTTGAACAGCTGTGGATGCTAGTGATATAGCAAGTGGTAAGCTGAAAGGACCTGCCCAAGGCTACCTGTTTGCCTAGCTAGGTCTTAGTTTAATGCTAGTTACCTCGTCTAAAATGGCGTCTAGTTAATAGTAGCAGCAGCAGCAGCAGGCACAGTAACAGTGGTAGTAATGTCTAACAGTTAGTATTCACAATGTGCGAGTTATTTAACATGCTCATTGAACCTGGTTGCTTTCCTGAGTCAGGCATCTCGATTCTCTTTCTTTACATGAAGGTGAGTACAGTATCATTGGGAATGCTCATTTCCTTTAATTTTTAAACAAGTAAATATAGTTTAACTTCACATGCAATTTTAAGATTTTAAATTTGTTTATATGTGTATAGGTAATACTTTCTGATGACTTGGCAAAAATTCATTTTGGCTGGTTTTTGTTTTTGCTTTTCATCTCAGTGAAACTGCTTTTGGTTACAAGGGTCTGAAGATCCTGCTGTACTATATTGCTGGTAGCCTGTCAACAATGTTCCGTGTTGAATATGCATCTAAAGTTGATGAGAACTTTGACTGCGTGGAGGTAAGAACAGAAATACATATATGTTAACTTTTCCACGAGTGTAAGAGAGGTCTTAAGTGTTAAGGTTCTGAAGAGGAGAAATTGCAATGTCGTCTCTTCAGATCAGTCTTTCGGGTATAGGAGATGTTTGTCAGTCTGCCCATCTCTTGGGTGAACCTTCTCTATGGCAACATTCACTTTGGTGAGCAGAGCTCTATTTACCAGCTTTTGTTTTGATTGTGGACATGCAAGTTAACAGCTTTCTGAAGGCTTTTAACTTACTGAACTTTGGGTTTTTATTTATGTATTTGTTTTTTGTATAGCCTTGACTGGCCTGGAACTCACTCTGTAGACCAGGCTGGCCTCGAACTCACAGTGATCTACCTGCCTCTGCCTGCTGAATGCTGGGATCAAAGGCATGCGCTACCACCACCTGGCTTAACTTCTGACTTTTATCCTGTTAATTGTATTATGTTTTTCTCTTTCTCCCATGTTTTATGCTCTTAACTGTCAGTTAAGTGTCATTGTGAGGGGCTTCTCTTTAACAATCTATATAAAAATAGTATATTGGTATGTTTAATGAAGTGATATATAATGTCTACACAGCATGAAAGAAGCCTGAGCTGGGTGGTGGTGATGCACGCCTTTAATCCCAGCACTTGGGAGGCAGAGGCAGGTAGATCTCTGAGTTCAAGACCAGCCTGGTCTACAGGGTGAGTTCCAGGACAGCCAAGGCTACACAGAGAAACCCTGTCTCGAAAAACCAAAAGAAAAAAAGAAAGAAAGAAGCCTGAAATAATCTTAATTTTTAGTAAGTTTTTGATTGGTACATAATAGTTTTATATATTTATGGGGTACAGCATAGTATTTCAATACATATGTTCTGTGGGGCGTTTACCCACCACCCCCACAGCTTCCCAGAGTTTTCTTGAGTGCGAGCAGCAGGAAATATTAGATAGAAGGATTTATAGCGGAGAATCTTGCGGAGATAAACAGATAGAAAATAAAGGATAGCCTCGAGAGGGCCTGGAACCTATTCCAACGGGCCCCGACTGTCTCTGGTCCAGGGTTTTTATAGAGATGCCAAGGGGTGGAGCAAAAGACCTCCTCCCCCAGCACAGCCAAGTGCAGACCATCTCAGACACCTGCACTCAGGCCCGTGGTCCTGATCATCCTCTATTCGGACCTGCTGGGTAAAGCCACGAGGAACCCCAGAACGGGCTCCCACAATATGTACAATGTGTAATGGTCAGTGCAGAGTAACTGATGTATCTTTCACCTCAAAAAATTATCAAGAAATAGTCACAGGCTGGACATATATCTTAGAGGTTAAGAGCACTGGCTGCTAGTTGAGAAGACGGGGGTTGCATTCCCAGCACCCTCAAGGCAGCTCTGAATGGTCTGTTACTCTATAGTTTCAGGAGATCTGACACCCTTTTCTGGTCTTTGAGCACCAGACACACACAGTTTACATACATACATGCAGACAAAACACCCACACACAGAACAATAATAAAATAATTATTTTTAAAAAGGAAAGGTCTTATATATTCATTATTAGTGTTAGAAATATTTTGAGTACTACTTGTTCTTTTCTTTGTTTTCTTGTACTTCTCAGTCGTTTAAAATTACCAAGCTTGACAGATAAATAATAATGTAATTGTACTTAGTATTTGTTTTATCTAGTAGTTTATATGTTGTGAAATTTTCTTTTAATTTTACTGATAGATGATTGTGAATAATGCTGTAGTTGTGATAAGTGAATGTTTGCAACTAAATTCCATCTAAACCAGCATTGAATAAATTATTAAAATAGAGGTTTTCAGTAATGAGATTTTTCTTATTAGATATGGTTAAATTTCTTCAGAATCCAAATATTTTGTACTAAGTATTCTGATTTCAAATACAGCTGATGTTTTCCTTTGTGCAGTACAAAATTCAGGGTCATTTGAGGCGTGTGTGTGTGTGTGTGTGTGTGTGTGTGTGTGTGTGTGTGATTTAATTTTGCAGCTAATAGTGCTAAATTGATTTCTTCCAAAGGAAATATTGACTTGGTTATTGATAAATCTTTCAAATACTGTGTATAGTGAAAATAGCTATCTATTTGCACTAACTTCTAATTGTTCCATTTCTGAAAACCAGGGTTTCCATTTAGAAGTACTATGTTAAGTATAAGAATCAATCGATCTTGTATAGTGTTTTTGTAGGGTTACTTATTTGCTTCATGATCAAAATCATTTGTTTAGTGTTAAGGAAAGATTCCCCCTACCCCTTTTTGTTTTAAAGAACGGTAGTTGATATGGGCATAGTGGACTGGCTTCTTCTGTTTCCGTTTGCAGCAGTAATGCTCATTCCCTATGACTTCTTGTGTCCTTTTTCCTCCCCATTAATTATGTGTATTATGTAGTATGTCTGTATGTGGGTATGCCATGTGAATGTGGGTACCCAAAGAGGCCAGAAGAGGGCTTTGGATCTCTTGGAGCTGGAGTTACAGGCAGTTGTGAACCACCCAGCATGGGTGCTGGGAACCAAACTTAGGTATTCTGCTTTTAACATCTGAGCTATCTCTCCAGACTAGCCTCTTGTGCTCTTGATGCCAGGAATATAGTAAATAAACCATTCTCTGCTCTCAGAATTTACCATAAACAAATCATAAACTCAGAGGGTGTTAGAAATATTTTGCTGGAATGGTTGAAGAGAGTGGCAAATCTAGATTGTGCAGAGCCTTGGGATTTTTCTGTGCCAGGATAAGGTATTGCTAAGAGGCAAGAATAGTTAGTAGCCTTTATAAGTTTTAAGCAGGTGGTGCATTATACAATATAATTCACATTAAAAAGGTAGGCTGGCATGTGTGCACGCTTGTATTTCCAGCATCCTGGAAGTCGGAGGCCTATAGAAAGATCTGAGTTAAAAACCAGATTGAGGGGCTGGAGAGATGGCTCAGAGATTAAGAGCACCGACTGCTGTTCCAGAGGTCCTGAGTTCAATTCCCAGCACCCACATGGTGGCTCACAACCATCTGTAATGAGATCTGGCGCCCTCTTCCGTATACATAATAAATAAATAAATCTTAAAACAAAAACAAAAACAAACAAACAAGCAGATTGAGCTACATGGCAAGTACATTGGGACAGCCTGGTCTGTTTTGAGACCTTGTCTCAAAACGAACCAAAAACCTGGCACATAGAGGACCTGCTATAGTGGGTAAAGTGAAAGAAGGGAGGCCAGTAACCAGAACTTTGCAGTAGTAGTTGTCAGATTGAGGGTATTATTATGTTTGTGGTTGGAGTAGATGTGATTGATGGCTGAGAGAGAGAAATAAGGGTGGGGGAAGCCATTGCTGCCTAGCGATGGTGGCGCACGCCTTTAATCCCATCACCAGGGAGGCAGAGGCAGGCCGATCTCAGTTTGAGGCCAGCCTGGTCTACAGAGAGAGTTTCAGGACGGTTAGGGCTGTTACACAGAGAAACCCTGTCTTGAAAAACCAAACAAAACCAAACAAATCAAAAACAAAAAAAAAAACATTGCCTAAGAAATAGTGACACTGCCACTCTTGAGGCCAGTCCGGTCTACATAGTTCCAGAATTACGTGTTGAAACTTTGTCTCAAAAAAAGCAAGCGTATGTTCTTAAGGCACGAATAGAAGGTAGCAAAGGTTCATTTGCTTATTGCAGTTTTGCTATTACATTAACTTTTTTGTGCATCCGCACACCTATGTATGTGTATGTGTGGGGTACACATGTGCCACAGTCCACATGTGGAGGCCAGAGAAAAATTTGTGTGAGTTCTTTCCTTTCACCATGTGAGTCCTGGGAATTAAACTCAGATCACCAGGCTTAGTGGCTGGCACCCTTACCTGCAGAGCCATCTCACTGCCCCATCAATTAATCTTTTATCATCTATTTTCCCCCCAAATGAGTTCTACAGTATACCTAAAATTCTGTAGCACAGGTAAGATGCCTGAGAAGCCTCTTTACTAGCCATTATCTTATAACCAACTTGATTATTCAGACATTGATTTGTTCATCTTTGCTTGTCCTTTGCTTTTTTAATTCCTCTGTCTTCTCTTGGGGTAACTTTATGTTAAATGAAGGAATATATAAACTGTTCATTTTTCTAGTTTCATTTCTGGGAGATTTGACAGAGAACATGAGCTGTATGGGTAGGTTGTGTTATCTGTGAATTTTCAGTTATTTTCGTACACTAATAAAGCTTGAATTTGACAAATGAAAGCATATTTAATTTTTTTCTTGGAATCTTTAACCTCTTGTAAGAAAGAACTAAGGATGGAGTCTAGGGTCATACATATACCAGGCAAGCACTTTGCCACTGAGCTGTATCCCCAGATGTTTATTTTTATTTTTATTTTTGAGACAGGTTCCTATTAAGTGGCCCAGGCTCACCTTGAACTCATTATATAGCCTGGGCTGGCCTTGATGGTGAGATTCTCTTACCTGCCATCTGAGTAACTGGGGTTATAGACCTGTACTACTAAGCCCAGCTATATGAAAATCATTTGTACTTTATAGAGAAGTACATTCTTGTATGTATATGTGTGTGTGTGTGCATCTTTGTGTGCATGCAGATGTAGGTGTGTATATGTGAGGCCAGAGGATAACAACCTCAAGTGTTTTTACTCAGGCTCTATCAACCTTTGTTGTTGTTTTCTTTTAATTTTGAGGCAGAGTCTTAACTGCCTTGGAATTTACCAAGTAGGCTTGGCCGACAAGCCCCAAGGATCTATATGTCTGCCTCTACAACATTATGATTTCAAGTGCATGATATTGAGCCTGGATTTTATATATGAGTGTTAGGGATTGAACTCAAGTCCATGTGCTTGCAAGGTAAGCACTTTACCAACTGAGCTACCTAGTCTAATGTACCCATAATCTTATTAAAATACAATATCATAAAAGTTGTAAAATTACATGTTGACAACTTCATCTTGCTTAGTTTGAATAGTAAAACACTAATACAGTATCAGAAAACCTAAGTGAGCATAAATAAACTAGTGAAAAAGCTCACATTTCAGTACTAATAATACTTTAAATCTCCACCTTTAAAGCTGAAATAGCACAATATGAGAATGAGCAAATCTGGGCGGTGGTGGCGCATGCCTTTAATCCTAGCACTCAGGAGGCAGTGGCAGGTGGATCTCTGAGTTTGAGGCCATACTGGTCTACAGAGTGAGTTCCAGGACAGCCAGGGCTACACAGAGACCTTGTCTTGAAACCGAGAGGTGGGGGCGAGGAGAGAGAGAGAATCAAGAAGAAACAACTTCTTTTACTCTTTCTAGCATATTTTAGATATTCATTCTTAGATTTATAGTAATGCTAAATCTTGTGACACTTAAGCCAAGTAAAGAATGTTACACTTACTTAACATGCTTTTAATTGCAACTTCAAAAATAACTCACCAGGGACAAACTTAGACAAACAGTGCTGCTTAAGATTAGGCGCTAGAAAGGTTATTGTACTTCCAAATACATATACATTAAAAGCAAATTAAATTTGTATTTGTAACATATTACTAGTTTTACTCAGGCATATTGCTTTGTGCAGTGACGAAGAAAAACAAAAATTGTTCCATAGGAACATTTTCTTTGGTAACAAAGCATAGAACACTGGAATTCTAAATGGCCATGGGAGAAACTATGTCCTTTAAGATATTTCAAGGGGCTCAGTGCTGAAGAGTGCTGGCTGCTCTTGTAGAGGACCCAAGTTCCACACCCAGCACCCGCATAGCAACAACCACCAGTAACTATTTCCAGGACATCTGATGCACATATGGTGCAAAGACAGAAGATTTTATATGAAGGTGTTTATTGAGTAAATATCTTTGCATACTGAAAATTATATATTCTTTCAACTTGCTTAAGATTTGAGGGTAGTTGCCTTTCAACTGAATTGTGACTTGAAACATAGTAGTTACAGAGATCTTTGATCTTTCTAAATGCAAGATGGGTAAAGTGACTCATGCTTCTGTAGTTCCTGCCTTGCTTAGGAGATATGACATGAGGAAAGTTAAAGGTTAAAATCACAATGTTGAGCCGGGCGGTGGTGGCGCACGCCTTTAATCCCAGCACTCGGGAGGCAGAGGCAGGCGGATCTCTGTGAGTTCGAGGGCAGCCTGGGCTATCAAGTGAGATCCAGGAAAGGCGCAAAGCTACACAGAGAAACCCTGTCTCGAAAAACCAAAAAAAAAAAAAAAATCACAATGTTGAGATTGACCTGTAGTGATTTTTTTTAATTATATTTTTCCCTGACATTTAAAAACCAGAAATAAAATTATACTGTGCTATTTTACCCATCACTTAAAAAAAAGTACTATGTAATAAATCTATTATAATAAATCTATTATAATTATTCCTCTTTTTAAATATTTTTCTTGCAATTATTGAAAATTGGGTGCTTTTTACATTCATAGTTTTAGGGGAAATATTTATCAAATAGTATATTTTTAAAATAAAGTAGATTTATCAAATTTAGTTTATTTGCAATTGAGGATGACTTGCAAGTACTGATGTACACATTACAAATAAATGGTCAGCCAGAATGCTGAAAAGACATATTTTAAGTAATAGCTTATTTTTATGACCACAAATAAATCATATATAAATGTTGGTGCCAATGCATTGAAAATAACATTTATTTGTGATAAGCTCCATCCATCCTTGTATCTCTATCCTAAAATGTAACTCAATGATAATAAAGTACTATTCATCTGCAGGTGCATTGCTCCTACTTAGTTAAAAGATGATTGAAAGGACAGGAATTAGTAGCATGTTGTATTAGCCTTTTGTAGTGTATTTTGTCCTAAGCATCTTAATTTCCCTGTTTTGAATGCTAAGTAGCAAGGGTCTTGGTTTAGAACTAATACCCATCATGCATGTAAACGGTATGAAAGAGCTGCTTAGTAAGTTAACACAAAGTGTTCTTGTGTCAGTCCTTGTGGAAATAGATACAATACAAACATTACAGCTGAACTCACGGCAAACTCCATTAAGTAAAAACCTGGCCTCATTGTTCAGGAAAAAGTTTGAATAGAATGCAAGCTCATTTTGTTGAATGTAATGTCAGGCTTTTAGGGACTGTATTGAAGGATAAGGTTTTGTTAAGTTGAGACCAATTCATTAAGTTTTATTGCCTGGTGAGAAGCAGTAATACTTTATTGTAAGACTTCATCAAATATTCATGGTTACAGAGAAGTAGTAAATGTATTCAATCAAGTGGTCTTTGGGGTTTTGAAAAGGATTATGAAGTCTGCTCAGCTGATAGTTTCATTCATTGAGGTTGTTTAACAAGGGTAATTTTAATCTCTGAGTTTAATTTTGTTGTCCAGTCTTTTCTCTTTTATACGATCACAAATCCAAGTCTATGAAAGTTGTCACATTGTGGAGATGAGTGGATAATATAACCATTCATATGATTTTTTTTTTTATTTCCTAAGTGGAGATACTTTAAAAATTATCATCTTTATGAGGGTCTTATCTGTCTTACTTTGCTATTCACTTGGTCAGACTATCTAGCCTTACCACTTACTGCTGGTGATCTTTTCATGTCTTGGATAATATGGTTTCTTTGACATGTGTATAATAATAATCAGCCTTTTGTTTTGGCTTGTTAAGATTGTCCTGAAGGGTGGTAGGTGATAATCACTTTCTGTGTGATGCTAGCACTACCATTACTCTTGCACCTGATACTAGGCTACCTGCCTCTGATTCGTTTTTTATGTTAATGCTCATCTCAAACATTTATTTAGTTAAAACTTACCTTTTTTTGTTTCACTGCGTTGTTTACTTCTTTAGTTAATTGTGAAGTTTTGTGATAGTTTTGTCCATTAAAACTTGTCCATTAAAATTTTTTGTTTTGGGGCTGGCTGTTCTTCCAGAGGACCTTCCTCTTCCCAGCATCCACATGGCAGTTTACCAGTCTGTAACTCCAGCTCCAGGAGTTTCGACACCTTCACACAGACACATATGCTGGCAAAACACTAATGCATATAAATTAAAAATAAAAAACTTAAAAAAATGTTTTTTTGTTTTGTTTTGAAACATGGAGTCTCTCCCTGACTGGTCTAGAACTTGTATGGAGACCAGGCTGGTCTCAAACTCACAGAGATCCACCTGCCTCTGCTTCTTGAGTGCTGGGATTAATCACCACACCTAAACCAGTTTTGTACAATTTAAAGAAATTAAACATTTTCAGCTAAAAACTAAATTTGTTACTTTGTTCTTTGTCCTCTGTTCCTCAGGCAGATGATGTTGAAGGGAAAATCAGACAAATCATCCCACCTGGGTTTTGCACAAACACAAATGATTTTCTTTCTTTGCTGGAAAAGGAAGCTGATTTCAAGCCATTTGGAACCCTCCTCCATACATACTCAGTTACTTGTCCAACAGGAGGAGAAAACTTTACTTTTCAGATCTACAAGGTAAAAAGAAGTATTTCCCTTTGCCTGGGACCTATGTGGGGTTGTACATTCAGTAATTCTAGCATCAGAGAAAAAAAAAAAAACACAAAAAAACGCTTTTTATTGGCACTAAAACCAGCTCTGTTTTGACTGTATGTTTGTATACATATTTAATCTGAGACTTGTAAATGTTTCCCACAGGATAGTTTTGTGCTCTGCAGACTTTCACTTACCTCAGTGATGAGTTTCACCTGACTTTTTCTGGCTTTTTCCCTAGGCTGACATGACATGTAGAGGCTTTCGAGAATATCATGAAAGGCTTCAGACCTTTTTGATGTGGTTTATTGAAACTGCTAGCTTTATTGACGTGGATGATGAAAGATGGCACTACTTTCTAGTGTAAGTACAGTTCTAAAGCAACAGTGGACCTTATTACCTCCACAAAGCCAGCATTTTAATTGTGGCAGCCCAATTATTGGGGACAGTATAATGATATTTTTCCCAGGAAAGAAAAACCATTGTTTATGAGGCTTGAGTTTGCCTTCATTATGCTTTGGGGGACTTGAGAATAGAAGTGAATTAAATGCTGTTGTCTGTTAGGGCCCTGAATGTAGGCTTAAACAGTAAAATGAGCTTTGCCTGTGTTTTCTTTTACTTGCCACCTATTCATCTTTATAATAGGCAAGTGCACTGAAGTGATGGAAAGAGGTCTGATTTATCCAAGTTGCTGCACACCAATTAAGTGAATTGTACATTCAGAACATAGCAGGTGTACCCATTGGGCCCTCACGGGGTAGCTTGCTGACACTGAAAATTCAGTCAGAGAATGGAAAAGAAAATGGACACTGCATGGGAGCGCGACTGTAATTGACCTGCTTGGCTTTCTGTTTTATCTGCAGATTTGAGAAGTATAATAAGGATGGAGCTACGCTCTTTGCGACCGTAGGCTACATGACAGTCTATAATTACTATGTGTACCCAGACAAAACCCGGCCACGTGTAAGGTAATTGGCAGTATAACACGTGCCTTGTCTTTTATTTCAGAAGGAACTGCTGAAGTTTCCAATACTTGTTATAGTAGTGTTGATTTGCTTAAAAAAAAAAAAAAAATCACCATTCATTGGCTGTGTACTGATTTATTTTATTGTTTTCTTTGAAACTGTCTGGCAGAGTGAACCAGAGTATGTTAGTAATTTTTTGGTTTCTTGAAGTTTGATTTTTGTAAAGCACCAACACTCATAATATCATAATTTGATTTTTTAACTGGCCATGATGTGATGTTTTAATTTAGAATAATTTCTTTACTATAGTCAGATGCTGATACTGACTCCATTTCAAGGTCAGGGCCATGGTGCTCAACTTCTTGAAACAGTTCATAGATACTACATTGCATCTCCTTCAGTTCTTGATATCACAGGTATGTAAAATTTTATGTTACTAAAAGAGCCTTTCTCAAACATCTTCGTAGTTTTATTTCTGTCTTAATGTTAGCATTCCCTTGGCGTCTTTAGGGGAGACTGCTTTAGATTACATTTTAGATCATAAGCTTTTATGGAAATTGGACTGCATACCTAACTGAAGTGAACAAATTACAAATAATGAACTGAATATATATTATTTGGGGAAATTCTGGTCAGACATAAGTGCATTGCAGGTGTGCTATAATTTATTTGTTCAGCTTATTGGGCAAACATTTCCATCATTTAGAAGATACCTGTGCATTAATTTTAAACCATAGTGTGGTGGGGAGTAGTAGTTCCTTAATAGAAGACACCTTTTTTGTGGGGGTTGGTGCCCCCCCCCCAAGACAGGGTTTCACTGTGGAGTCCTGGAACTCACTCTGTATGTAGACCAGGCTGGCCTCGAACTCACAGAGCTCTGTCTGACTCCCTCTGCCATCTGAGTGCTGGGAGCAAAGGTGTGTGCCACCGCTGCCCAACAGATGTCATTTTCTTACCCTGAGTAATGTTCAGGTCTGTTGTCCGTAAAGTTGCTGATTAACCTGCAAGTCACAGCCAGGTGTTGTGGCACGTAGACCCATAGTCCCAGCACTCGGGCTAAGGCAGGAGGGTTGAGAGTTTGAGGTCAACCTGGACTGCACAGGGACATGCTGTCTTTTTTTTTTTTTTTTTAAGATTTACTTATTATATATACAGTGTTCTGCCTGCATATATGTCTGTGCACCAGAAGAGGGTGCATTATAGATGTTGTGAACCACCATGTGGTTGCTGGGAATTGAACTCAGGACCTCTGGAAGAACAGCCAATGTTCTTAACCTCTGCGCCATCTCTCCAGTCCCCAAGACTGTCTTAAAATAAAACAAAAATTAAAACAAAAAACAAACAAACAAACAAAAAACCTGGGAGTCATTTTTGTTTCCTTCATGTGTAGCGAGTGTATAGGGTTGAGCATCCTCAATCTGAAAATCTGAAGTCCATTCAATGTCCTGGAGCTGGAGTTAGAGGTAGCTGTGAGCCGCTTGGCAAGAGTAATGGAGCTGAACTCGGATTGTTTGGAAGAGCAGCAGGGTCCCTTAGCCACTGAGCCATTTCTTTAGCCCCGCCTCCCCAAGCCTTTTTGTAGCTAGAGTTTTCCTGCCTGGCCCACAGTCAGGATAAATCTTTGTCACCCGCCAGTCCCACAGCCACTCAGACCTGACCAAGTAAACACAGAGACTTATATTGCTTACAAACTGTATGGCCGTGGCAGGCTTCTTGCTAACTGTTCTTATAGCTTAAATTAATCTATTTCCACAAATCTATACCTTGCCACGCGGCTTGTGGCTTACCGGTGTCTTCACATGCGGCTTGTCATAGTGGCGGCTGGCAGTTTCTCTCTGCCTCAGCCTTCCGCTTCCCAGAATTCTCCTCTCTTCTTGTCCCACCTACTTCCTGCCTGGCCACCTACTTCCTGCCTGGCTACTGGTCAATCAGTGTTTTATTTATTGATCAATCAGAGCAATTTGACATACAGACCATCCCACAGCACCTTTTGTTTTTAATTTCAAAATTTAAGATTTTTTTTTTTGAGTGCCAACATGATACTCAAAATTTCAAATTTCTAAAATACTTTAGAATTTTCAAATTAAGGATTCTAACTGGTAAACTATAAAAATACTCCAACAATATAAAATCCTCAAAAATCTGAAACATGGGCTGGAGAGATGGCTCAGAGGTTAAGAGCACTGGCTGCTCTTCCAGAGGTCCTGAGTTCAGTTCCCAGCACCCACATGGTGGCTCACAACCATCTGTAATGAGATCTTGGTGCCCTCTTCTGTCATGTAGACAGGACACCGTGTTCATAATAAATAAATCTTTAAAAAAAAAAATCTGAAATACTTTTGGTCCCACCCATTTCAGTTAGAGTTGCTCAACCCTACACAAGATAGTCACATCCAAGTTAGATACTAATGTTTATTTTATAAAGGCTTGAACATGAAACTGGATGTAGTAGAACTCAGTGGTAAAATGCTCACTCAGGAGTATGAGTTCTGGGGGATTTGATCCTCAATGCCTCAATAAGTAAATAAGTAAATAAGTAAAGAATATATATTCTGTATTATTAGAACCGATTGGCCTCCATCATGTAAACTAGGCAAGCCTTGAGCTCGAGAACCACCTACCTCAGCCTCAGCTGCTCCGTAAAGACCTATACCATCACAACTGGCTTAGATACTTCAGTTTGTTTCTAAAATTCTTCTTTTAACATGTACTAAAATGCTAACTTATTTTAAAATGATTTTTCAAAACTTTATCAAATTGTTTAAAGAAACAACAACAAAAATTGTTGACTGTGAAACTGAAAAGTTTATAAAATAAACTAATGGGCAGATTTTTTTTTTCATATAGTATGCTGATTTCGCCTGCTCAAGAAGGAAATATAGAGCTGCCAGAATAGTGAATAGTCTTGTTAACAAATACATGCCTTTCTCCCCAACTGTGATCTAGAGAATTCTGCTTTACGTGAAAACTAATGCAGGGTATTCTTTAAATGGTTTAAACTAATAAACTAGAGGGAAAGCATGATGGGGTTGTTTTATTTCTGCTGTGGTAAGAATCAAACCCAGGCCCTTGTACATGCTAGGAAACATTCTACCACTGAGCTATAACCCAGCTCCACATTTTAAAATGGAGTTATCTTTCCTTCTGACTCACTACTGGTAAAAGGAGTTAATTAATCAGCTTACTTTATATCAGAAGTTATAAATGGACGATACCTTAACTACTTTTCGTGAACTGTAATATTATCCAGACAGTATAACCCGCTCTGTCACTGCTTAGAGCTGAGCCCGAGTTACCAGCTTCTGTTCACTGACAGCTTGGCCTTGGTGCTACACGAGGGGACATTTCTGGTGATTTTAATCTGGAGTTCACAGAAGTAGTCTTTGTCTACTCTAGTGGGTAATGTGCCAGCGGGGGTTGTTTCTCTGAAGCCTCTTAACTACTTTTTTCTGTCTATTCTAGCCAATAAAGTCCTTGATACTTAGCACCAATTAGCAGATAAAGAATTTTCTTTCTTAAATCTCAGTGAAGAGTCATTAATAATAGTACCCTTTATTCATTGCTATGATTCATTAGAAACTGAAGTCTTTAAAGAAAAAGGCTAAACATGCTAAAAGGACGTCTGAATTTGACAACTAAGTATCGACCTTTATTTTCAGCATTCACATTTCTTGGCATTACAAAATGCTAAAAATGCTTGGTTAGCTGCTCTCAATATATTTCTCTTAGCTTTCATACGGAGTCCTTAAAAAGCATTAAAAAAAAAACCCTACCAAATTTTGTACTCTAGTCATTTAGTTGTCTGTCTCTCCATTATTTTATGTTTTTAACTTAATGACTCTAGTGTGGGCTTTGGTTAGTATTGAGGTGGCCTTTGCTTCCTTGATATATTGGCAGAAATAATTATAATTAATTTTTAATCATTGGTAGCTTAGGTTCTATTCTCAGTGGATACATGTTTGGGATGCAGTTTCTATCTATTTTTTTTAGCTTCAGTTTTATTGGCAGACAGTTCTTATATATAGACTATCTTCATTTTGAGGCTGTCAATTTCTAGATGGATAACAGTTGAAAACTTCTCAGAATATAAGTAGAATCAATAATTTGTTTCATTGGACAGTAGAAATTGATTCTGGCGAGAGAGAGAGAGAGAGAGAGAGAGAGAGAGAGAGAGAGAGAGAGAGAGAGAGAGAGAGTGTGTGTGTGTGTGTGTGTGTATTATATAAAAGCATTATTTAATCTACCAATAGTACATTAACAAATAATATATTTGTCCTTTAAAGCCCCTTGTTCTGAGATATGTTATACAAATTTTTTAAAGGTTAATGTGGACTTTTAAATACTTAGGTGATGTCATCTCATTTTCTTTAAAATATTTTTAATAATATACCATATTAATACAGAGAGGCTTTTGAACATGGTAGAACACTACAAGCTGATTTTTTTTTTTTTTTGTTTTGTTTTGTTTTTTGTTTTTTGTTTTGTTTTGTGAGACAGAGTTTCTCTGTGTAACAGCCCTGGCTGTCCTGGAACTCGCTCTGTAGACCAAGCTGGCCTCGAACTCATAGAGATCCACCTGTCTCTGCCTCCCAAATGCTGGGATTAAAGGCATGTGCCACCATTGCCAGCAAGCTGATGTATTTAATGTGGAACAAATCCTAGCTTTTAGACTCCATATTTCACTTGAATATAGATTTATATTCAAGCGAATTTTATCTTCAATTATTTTTATGTGGTGTGGTCTATGTATGGATGGTGTATACACATGTATATATGCTAGGTGCATGTGTGTTTGCATATGCATTCAGAGGCTAGAGGAGGATGTTGAATGTCTTGTTTCATCGTTCTCTACCGTACTCCCTTAGGACAGTCTCTTACTGAACCTCTGAAGCTAAATGGGCAGTTAGCAAGCCCTAAATGGGCAGTTAAAGCCAGTGATGCTTCTGCCTTTACTTTCCATTCCAAAGCATTGGAGTTACCAAAGCATATGGCCAACACCTGGTTTTGGGTGTTTTTTTTTTTTTTCTTTGTTTGGTTGGGTTTTTTTTTGTTTTGTTTTGTTTTTTCCTGGAGCTGAGGACTGAGCCCAGGGCCTTTAGGCAAGTGCTGTACCACTGAGCTAAATCCCCAACCCCAACACCTGGGTTTTTAAATGAGTGATGTGATCTGAACTCAGATTTTTATGCAGCAAGTTCTTTCTCACCAAGACATTTTCCAAGCCCCATACCTCTGTTTTTGAGACAAGGTCTTGAACTTGTAATGTAGCCCAGGACAACCTTGGATTCTTGATACCCTTGCCTCCTCCTCCCAAGTGGTGGGATTACAGGCATGTATTATCACGCTGGGTTTGTAAAGCCGTGCTGGAGATTGAACCAGGACCTTGTATATTATAGAAAAGCACTCAACCAATTGAGTT